CAAAAAGGACTAAAGTTGAAACTTGGTTGACATATGATTGCATTATTCAAACATGTTTTAACTTTTTCTACTGTGTTCAATGAACGTATCTTTTTAAGATACGAACAGCAACACAAATATGTAAGAACAATCTCGAGAGCACGTTTTCATAGCTTCAAAGGCAAAAGTTGAATAACTGTTTTCTTTATAAGATTTACTTTCAAACGAATCACCCATTTCATTATATTTTTATTTATAACAACTACTACCGTGTGCGTCTTATAAGAATAAAGTCAATCTGTAGCTTGAATCAAGAAAATGAAAACAATGGTTAAAACAAACACCATTTTATTCCAAACTGAAGTTTCGGATTACATGCGGTCTTTCTTCTGTAATTCACTATAAACAATCAAGTCGTTATACATTATAAACTCAGGAACAACAAATAATAAAAAAGACAGGGTCATTTAAGTCGCAAGAGCAATATCGGCTGTTATAGAACACAAAATAAATATACAAAAATAATAAAATATATAACTGTAACGCTCCAGTAGCTTGACAATAAGACGAAAGGCTTATAACGGTAAAATCCGGATTTCGAGACCCGTGTTGAGCACAGTACAGATAATCAATTGTGTAGCTATGTGCTTAAATACAAACAAATGTACCTCACAGTGCAGCTCGTAAAACTTCAGAAGAATGAAATCTTGGGAAACACTGTTCAGCCTTATAAAATTATAATAATTTCTGGATAAGCTAATTAACACATAATATATAATAATATTATTATTAATACCTTTAATTAAGAAAAACCATAAAAAGGAAATTATTTACAAAAAATGCCAGAGTCGATTTTATAAAACTCATTCTCTGTCACAATTTCCAATCTGAAAGTGAAATCAAAACATACTCTTTTCTTCCCTTTGGTGCAGTTTAACAGTGGACAAAATAAATATTTTATTTAAGAATAATTTATCTATATTTCTTTTCCTGCGTTGAGCATTCTGCTATACAAAACAAGCTTTTCCCCCATTATTCGCTGGTAAAAGAGTAGTCCAAGAGTTGGCAATGGGTGGTGTTGACTAGCTGCGTTCCATCTAGTTATCTAGTATATCACTGCTAATTTAGCATATAGCTTTCCTCGAAATTCAAATCTAAACCAAACACGCCTTTTCCAGCTTTAGAGCTAGAAAATTTTAAACGCCAAGGATATATTAATTATTACTGCCACTTCTCCGATTATAGAGAGGGTAGAGTAGTTAAAACGATTTGACTAATAAGCAATGTAACAATTACAGCAGATATAAAGTTGCGGTGAAGCTGAATGTATCAAAACTACATCTTGAGATTGTTCGCATTATGAGTGACGCCACCAAAAATTGATCGTTTTTGGGAAGAGTATGTAACAGCCATTTGGACAAAAATATTTTTACACTTAAATCATAAAGACATGTTTAGATCGGAGAGTTATAACTTACAAGACTTGTATTTGTTTGTTTATTTTGAGAGAAAAGCCACATTGGGCTATCTGCTGTATCCGCCGTGGGTAATCGAACCACATATTTTAGCGATGTATGTCCTTAGATTTATCACTGTCCCATTGGGGGATGATTTTTACTTAATGGTAATGGAAAATAAATGAATAAGAATCAACTTGGGGAATCAGGACAACACAAAAAGAGAATTATAACAAGTCATATCACAGTCAAGGTAAGAAAAATGCGACGTCTTTTAGTAGGTGAGAATCCACGAACACAAAGGTCAGTATCAGAAGCCACCCATGTACCCCAGGTAACAGTATGCCACATAATATAGAAGGATTTCTGTCTGAAAGAGTGGCACAAGTCACGAGTACACAAATAAGGCTTCCATTCATTCATACCTCTTGCTCAACCATAATATACCTCAAGCAGTTGGAGAATGAAACAGCTATTTCTGCCATTATACATAAATACTATCGGTCAAGTCACCTGATGCAGTGCCTATGGGTTTCTGTTTGATTACACTGTTGACAGGAGCAATGGGAAACCGTCATCCTCGTACACTAGATGGATTAAGAAAACAATGTAAGGAAGAGTGGTGTGCTTTGGACATTACAGTCTTACAACAGAGACTTTTGCAATGTAAAATATGCTGCAGGGCTATTGTCAAATTGCACAGCAGATAAAGCATGACCGGATATGGCAACATGGACTTTAATGACGTGGTGAGGCTATAAAATAGTTTTAATACAATATATTTAACCAATGATGTCTTGATTTTTTAAATGCATGCATATGTACCCAAAGGATCTTCATGCACGATAACAGAGGCAATAAGGTATTGTGTAGGATGGAGACCGTAATATCAAATTTCCGCTCACTTTTTTGATAGCAATATTATTTACATCGTATATCAGAAACACTGTGTTCACTAAGCAGTGGTATAGGAAGTGGTATAACGTTAAGAAGGGCTAGCAGTAGCCGGGTGTGACATGCCCTGTAGCACCAGCACTTGTTGCCGCAATTTATTCTTCCAGACTGACGGCCGACGCGAGACGCCCCCTCCCCCACATCATAGAAATTATACTTTTTATATAATTCCAAAGGCTTCAGGAGATTAGTTTTTCTCTCCCTGTCTCTGAAGCTTTAAAACACTTAAAAAAACATTTTGGTATCTTGTGAGGGTATTAAAAATTTGTTGGACCAGATCTCCATTGTCCCCACTTCAGATGGATTTGATACTGACACGTTATACTCAACTTATGGAGTATGTTTCTTACATCAACGTTTATCCCTATTAGTTGGGTGAGCCACATAAAGATTCGACGTCAAAATAAGAGCCAATTATATACAAGAGAAAATCCTGTAAAGATCTCACGTAAAAGTAAGTTAAACAATAAACATTTTGTAAATGTTTTGGTCAGATATAACTAACTACCTTTTTGTTCTGAATATTATTTCAAATTTAATTGAAAGTAATTTCTCACCCGAAATGGATTCGAACTCTAGTCGCCTAAAGAAAATATCAAAAAAGATTCAACGTTTTTTTTATATATTTTATTACACTCATCCAAAATGAGAGATAAACCACATATACACAAAACACCATAAACAGGCAAGTAACAAGACTACAGAACCATAACACTATAATGCCTACATTGAATTAAGGTAATTTAATGTGAAGCTTATTTCCCTGCAGTTCAGCCACACCAACTTCAACAAACCATTGAATAAACGTCTGTAACTGGTCCTTAAACTTAAATCTCAACCAATCAAAATAAATTTTATTCTTAAGTTTGGCTTTATAATAGGCTAGCAAATTTGGTTTGGCTTTACATTTCATTACGCTATTCCTTTAGGGTTTTTACCTGCCCTTAAACTTTTAAGAAATCAGTTTTAACCTAATAGCTGTATAGAAAAGTTGACCATTAGAATTACGAAAAACGTGTTAATAAAAATAGCACTACATGTGCTACAGTAGTCAAATAATCAACATTTTTAGTTCAGATTAATACTTAGCAGTACACTGAATTTTGTTTCGTCCCAGTTCAATTGTTCACTGCATTACTCAACAAGGATAAGAAAAAGAACAGTACTTTTACCACTTTTTGACTGCTTGTTTCGATTAATCGAAAATAGATATGAATATGCTGTTTTGGAAGTGAAGTAAAAGTGTTTAAACCTGTCCATAAACATAGAGATAGCAGTATTTGGAACAACTGTGGCGATACTCCAGATTTGACCAAAAGTTCAGTCCTGTATTTAGAGTCACGGAAATGTTACTCCATCTTTTTATCTTACCTCTAGATCACTACGTTTGTTTGTTTGTAGTTCAGCACAAAGCTACACAATGGGCTATTTGTGCTCTGCCCACCACATATAAATGGAAACTTCAAATCCTTACTACAGAGCCATATCCAGTCTTTACTTGTCTGATTAATATTGGTTTAAGGTTTAACAGGATACAACTTTAAGCGATATATATAAATTAAAGCTTCAGTAATCATTAAAGCTGTTGTTGAAATACAGGATGTGGCCCGAAGATTTGAATCATACGATTTCAAAGTAGGTTAAACGTTTTTCTTTGGGCAAGAGTCTTTTATGTATATTTCTTTTAAATCACTGCTGTCATTTCCTTTATCACAGTTACACAGCTGCCGATATGCCGCCCCTCCCCACTCCAGCTATGGTTGCTTAATCTCGGTTTTTGTAAGATTGGAGATTTTTGTATGAATGAGGGTATTTATAATTGATTTGTTACTGAACTACGTCTTTTAACATCTAAACGTTATAGATATTTATCGAAGTTTCTCCGAAAATATTTGATCAAAGTTACACCGCGGTGTTTTGAGTTGTTTTTTTTTAATATTATTTGCATTTTCTGAAACAAACACACATTGCAAAAACGAGCAAACAAACCCACTTTTACAGAAATATTTCTGTTTGCTTAAGATTTAAGAGCACTAAGATCTGGACAAAAGTCCATATCAGTTCTTCAACTACGCCCGTGTGCTGATGGGACTCCACCTTCACAAAGTTGTTCCACACTTTAACCCAAGTCTAATTTTTTCCGCTTGGATATCCATCAGCCGGAACTACGTTTGTTTGTTTTAAGGTTGTCGTTTACACCATGACGTCATTCTTATTTTAAAGGTAAAGAGAAAGTTCCTTTTCACATGAGAGAATCTGGCATTTATAACAGAACGTTCGACAGAACGAAGTAGTAGTATCTTCTTGGTATTGGTCTTCTGAGGGTAAAATGGAAAGACGGTTGCTACTAATTTTACTGTACATCAAACTAAGTGAACTTGGTGTTCGATCACAAGAAAGAAGTTCTTTGGGACGTTGGAAACCTATTGATAGATTATTGTTTCCGGTAAGTATGTCAAGACACTGAAATATTCTTTGAAATTATATTTCTGGCATAGATTTTTTAAAGATTAGAGAATGATAAACAGTTAATTTGTGCACCATAATAAAACTATAAACATTGTTTAGTTAACATTTCTTTAGGCAATGTACCCTAAACGTTTTGTATCCAGACCACCTGATTTTTTTTGTACCTCTACGGACCATAATGTGATATATATATACTAAGATACCGAGCCGATCAAAGCCTAGTGTGTAACAAGCCAGACTGTAGATAGGAGGTTCCTTGGTTCGTGACCCGTAACCGCAAGAAAAAGAGAGAAAGAGAGAGAGAGAGAGAAGAAAAATCGAGCTCCACGTGTTGTAATCATGTTTACCAGCTGACTTCCCTCTAGTTTATCAGTTGAAAATTAAGGACGGCTAGCACAGATAACCCTCGAATAGCTTTTCGTAATTATTCAACATTTCCACAAACCACTTGAATGGAGTCATAAATTTAATAACATTTTAAAGGGACAAAAAGGAGGTTATTAACCCATCAAGAATGTCCCTTCCAACTCCCAACTATAACCACCCATTACTACTCATGTATTCAACCAATCTTTTCTTGAACTCTGTTAAATGTTCTGCCTCCACCACCCTTTAAAGCAGCTCATTCCAAAAGCTAACCACCCCTGTTTGAAAAGTAATACTGTCTAAACTCTCAAAATTTGAATTTATGCCCCTTGTCCTATTGTTTTCACTGCTAATCACAAAATAGTTTGATGGATCTATATTATAAATACCTTTAATAATCTTAAACACTTCAATAAAATCCATTCTGACCCTTCTCTCCAGAGAAAACAAGTTTATAGATTTTAGTCTCTCCTGATAGGACAATCCCACCATCTCAAGTATCATCCTAGTGGCTCATCTCTGAACCTTCTCCAACGATTCAATGTCCTTCTTGAGGAAGGAAGCCCAAAACTGTACACGATACTATAAATGAGGCCTTACAAGTGATCTATACAGTGAAACAATAATATCCCTTGTCTTGTATTCAATATTTCTATAGATGCTACCCAAAATCATATTAGCCATATTGTTAGCTACAATACACTGTTTAGATGACTTAAATGATTTTTCACTCACAATACCAAGATCTTTTTCTTTAACCACAGTATTTAATGTATTACCATTTAAATTTAGACTACAGGTTCAGAACCACTCTTTTAAAGATTGAAGAAACAATTTACTGACTACAGCTGTCTGAAATATAGAAATAAAGCAATATTAGAAATAAATATATTATTCCGGGTTTAACGCTGTGCATGTGATTTCCCTCCAATAAAACAACAACAAAGAACTGTTTGTAATTAAGCACGAAGCTACATAAGGGGCTATCTGTGTCCTGCCCACCGCGGGTATCGCAACCCGGATTCTAGCGTTGTAATTCCGCAGAAAGACCTCTGTGCCACTGGGGGTTGGTCACAGTAAAGAAACCATTTTGACTGCTATAGCACTAATTATATTAATCTCTACACTGATCCTCTAAAAACGTTAGAATCTTATCTTATGATTTTAAATGACACGGTACAACGTTTTCCATCGTCTTAAAGATACCTTTATTACCTTCTGTTTAGAACAATAACTTATCAATTACAACCTTCTGGAAGTTTTGCATTTTTAGAAAAAAAATGGACTTGACAAAAGTTATAGATGAAAACTGTAATACCATTTCGAAATTCGTGAACAATTTACTTTATTACTTGTAGTTATGCACAAGGCTACACAATGGGCTCTGTCCACCACGGGTATCGAAACCCGGTTTTGTAGCGTTGTAAGTCCGCAGATATTCTTGAGCAAATGTGTATTCAAAGACCATGGTTTAAATACGTAAGTCAATTTTATAATCCGAGAAAAAAGTTGTGAAGTTGTTTGTTTGTTTGTTATGAATTTCGCGCAAAGCTACACGAGAGCTATCTGCGCTAGCCGTCACTAATTTAACAGTGTAAGACTAGAGGGAAGGCAGCTAGTCATCATCACCCACCGCCAACTCTTGGGCTACTCTTTTAACCAACGAATAGTGGGTAACG